TACTTTGCTCGCCCTGCGCTGTTCATCCAGCCAGGATCTTCACGCTGCAAAATGCTGCAGCAGCACTTCCACATGACTGTCAGGCTGTTAGGAAAATTGTGAATCATTTTCATGGGAAAAAATAACAACGCCCATCAACACCCATCTCACCACAGTCTGACCGAGCTTCAAACCAATCCCCTCCAGTGGCACTGGCAGGACGTACAGCCTATGCATAGAACTACCTTCTGGGACTATACACCATCAGTGGGTTACAGCCTTCAAGTTCGGCGACATTCTCTTTTTTTTCATCCCAGAAGTTAGAAAAGTCTATGGTTATCAGAGGGCCCATACAGTCCAGAACAGCATAATTATGAAGTGCACTGACTGCAGCAGACCCATAGTGACAATTTGGAGTGTCCTCCCAACCATCACCACTCCCATCCGTGACGTTCTCAAGCACAGTTAAACTTTGGCTTTAATACACCCCACTGTCTCCAAGGGAGAATGTCAAACCTTCCAGTTTCAAATAATATACGGCTGCAGGACCTGGTGTGGATCCCAGGTAGAGACCAACACACACCTGACAGTGTCAGTGTGATGGCAATGCATAGAGTCTAAAATTCTCTAACTATACCTTTCTCGGCCTTTTGGCTAAGATCAAGTGTAGTATCTGTTCTGATCAGTTTAATATCTGATCCGTGGTCCATCGGAGCACACGATATTGAAAAAAAAAAAAAAAAAAAAAAAAAAAAAAAAACCCATCTCTAACCTGATCAGATTGTGGGCCTGGTGGGAAAACTGCTGGAAAGCCTTTGCCTCAGATTCCATTGCAGCATGCCATTGGTCTGAGAACTACAGTTTAGATGGTATCCTGCCACCACAGATCTCCCAAACAAACGGCTGGCCAGGGGCTATGTAGCGCTTGCCGCTCACAGTTAGATCATCCACGTAGGCAATGATCGGGAAGCTGAGAAATGAACGACTTTTTAGGTGATCATTTTACTCAGATCTTACAATGAAAAAAGATGTTGATTCTCGACAACTTCTGAATAATTTTGCCTATGGGTCTCGTTAGACACTCCTAAAAGAATCCTAAAATTTTTAGGACAGTCGTTTTTTAGGTTTTCGTGCGTCGTGGTTCCACGCATTCCTAAAAGACCATCGTTTAGGACCAGTCCTAAAAGAAAGTCGTAATTAAAAAGAAAAAAATAAAAGAAAAAAAGCCATGCTTCAGGGTTTCAGCCAATAGGGTGCACCAGGAGTCCAAGACAACGGTGCCATGCGCACGTCCCCACGACTCCGTCAAACGCGGGAATCCTAAAAATTTCAGTAGGTCGGGGGCTACTGAAAAATCTAGGACGAATTTGCCTGGGGAATCCTAAATTCTTTAGGATTCGTCCTAACGCCGTTTTCACATTTTCGATCTCGAAATCGGATTTACTATCGCGTGCAACGACGATGCAATCCTAAAAACAGGCATTTTTAGGAGTGTCTAACGAGACCCTATGTTCTTGTTTCTCAGCGGCCATACTTCCAAACCATCTGCAAGTTTTTCATATGGGATGCTGGGCCCGGCTCCCAGCACGTCCTGCTCCCCACGAATAGACTGGAGCTTTGTTTTCTGAAAAAAAAAAAAAAAAAGGGCGGACTGGGGAGGAACCTGCAGAACCTGCAGAGCCCTTAACAGAGGCTCTGCTCGCATTTGGTTCATACAGATCGGGCCTATCAAGTACCGGCGCATGACAAAATGCGCATTTACAAAGCTACAAGCGTACAAAGTATGCTGGTGGCCACTTGGACAGAAACCCCCAGACTACCAACCGGCCCGATATATCGTAAACTCTTTCTTTTTTTTTTTT